TGGCTGTCATGGCGGACGGCAAAAAGGTTTCCCCGCGCACCATCTTCAAGGGCACGCCGTTCATCCCCCCGACCGTGAGCGGCAAGGGCAAGAGCACCCTGCCGCGGAAGAACTCCGTCGCGTGGGAGATCCATCCTGTGAACCGCGTCAAGCACGGCCACCCTGCCAACGGCATGTCCTTCGGCGTGCAGGAGAAGAGCTGGAGTGACCAGCGGGAGTGCAACGGGTGGATCTCGGGCAGCTGGAAGCTCCGTCCCAACAACGGCAGCATCGTCCAGCAGCGCCCGTGCATCCTGGTGCTGGACGACTTCAAGTGCCACAAGGACGAGGGTTTCATCGCCGCCCTCAAGAGGGACGCCAACACCATCGTCATCTTCTTCATCCCAGGCGGGTTGACGCCCTTGCTCCAACCGCTCGACCGCATGCTCAACAAGCAGATGAAGCGGCTGCTGCGGGGCAAGCACCGCCTACAGCGCGTCGGCGGTCGCAGACGCCCGGTCGGGGAAGCTGAAGCCACCGGAGCGTGGGGTCGTCTCTACGTGGTGCAAGGAATCGTGGGAGTCCATCACCCCCGAGACGGTCAAGACTTGCTTCAAGATCTGCGGTCTCACGCTCGCACTCGACGGCAGCAAAGACCACGCCCGGTGCGAGTACAACTTCGGGAAAGACTACCGCGACCTTTTCGAGGAGCAGCACGCCGTGTGGCTCGCCGAGCACCCCGACGTGACTCTCCCGCCGCTCAAGCTGCCGAAGATACCAGGGGGGTTCGACTCCAACCCCATGTTGATTGGTTCCAAGCCTAGTGCTGCTGGATAAGCACGGCTGACCAGGTTGACAGGGATGAAGAGATGGTAAAGTCGTTTATTAGGTTGCCCTTGTAGACAAGCAACAGGAGAGAGTGGGCGCCGCGTGCGCCGCAAAGCATCAAGCAACAGCCGCAAGAAATTCACCGACGAAAAGACGCGCAGGCTTTCTGCAACACGGAACAATTCCAACTACCAAAGACATGTCGGGAGATACCCCGAAGATCCACGCCCGTGGAACGGTCACTTGCACACGTTTCGCTCTCAAACCATACATGAGTACTACCGCAGTAGTGTTCGAAAGGATGACATAATCCACCTCACGGACACCCCATCACGGCTGCTCAGAAGGAGGTCGAGGGGAAGCTGCTGCCCTACGTCGCTGATGAGAGCGACAGCGAGGTGGAGGTCTTGGAGGGTGACAGCGAAGTGGAAGTCGTGGAGGGGCAGGGGGGCGGGGGCGCCGAAGGAGAAGTAGTCGAACTTTGAATCATAGTTCTTTGGGATTGCCAGTGAGATTGGATGTTTTTGCGATGGCAGGGGCGCGGGCACCAAGTAGAGTTCAACCCGCCTAGGAAGTACAGTAGTAGGACGTTGGTAGCTCGTAGTGGTAGTTTGGTGTGATTTTTTACTTCGTTTTTGGTTTCATCTGCGTTTAGAATTGTTGAGTGGATGTCGTTTGCCGATTTGCCGATCTTGATTCTTCAGAACGAAAAGAAGAGAACAAAGAGTACAAATACCACATCGTCATTGTGTCAAGGGCAGCAGTAGCAATGGAGCACGC